AGCACTCCCACACCTGTAATCCCTGGCGCGCTCCCCCTTTCTTCAGCTGGGGTCGGCGGATTCTACTCAGCAGCAGAGAATCAGCGCTGGATGTTAAAGTTTGAGTCGGCCTGCTCCTGCTTTCGTTCTCCTCTCTCCAGGCCATCCCCGTGGGAATTTCCTTTGTCAAACAACCTGGGTAGTCTTAAAGAACGAAATCAGTAGATACAGTTGCAATGGCCCAACTCCAACCCGGTGGTTGCCGTTCTTTAAAGTGGCAAGGCGTACCTTGATTCTTTAGAGGTTGGTTTTGGTGTGCAATAGTAAGCGTGCATGAGCGCAACCCGGGTGCACTGTTTCTGTGGTGTTTCAGGGATTTTCAAGGCAGGTTCCTGTTCTTTAGCAGGGCATGCTGTACTTGGATTTTTTCTTTCGGGACTCTTCTTTCAGCGTGTTGATTTTGTAATTACACCTCTATGCAACCTGAACCCGGAAACCCAAGTTTCTACCAAATCAATAAGCCGGGTGTCACGTCGAATTCTTAGGCCTAGGCCTATCCATTTGGATCATGTACATGTCGTTGCACATGTTGCAGGTCACCAGTCCTACGATGTGAAAATCCCAACAACCGAAGGCAGGGCAGCTGAAGCTGCTGTGCTCGCAAACACAGACGGTCGCCGGCCGGTCGCCTGCCGGTCGCTTCCCACCCTTTGGGGGGGTGCCAGCTACGTCGACTCGTGGAGTCGAGGGTGGAATCTGTTTTTTAAGCATGTTTATTCAAGCTTCTTGTTACTACCAGTAAGGCACTTGTTACTACTAGCGATGCACTTGTTACTAGTAGCTTCTTGTTACTACTAGTAAGGCACTTGTTAGTAGCGTGGCACTTGTTTCTACTAGCTTCTTGTTTGTGGAATCGGTTTTTTAAGAAGCATGTTTATTCAATTCTTTTAAGGGGGGGTAGGCCGCTAGGACGGTGAGGTAGGTAGCCTACTTAATACCTTAGACGCAGGATTGCTTGCGCTCGCACTAATGATTTGGTTCCTAGATGGAAACTAAGGCAAGTATTGCACGTTCTGCCGTAATTAGCACCCGGCCACTCTGCCGCTTCTGCTGCCCATTTGCCCATTCTGAAGGACGAGTTTGCCGGAAAGGGCGGACTCCCGGCAAGTTCGCCATGAAGAAACAAGAGAACTCTCTCCATGCCCAGGCTTGCCTTGAACAAGTGCTATTGGTCCATGGATGGCCGCAAGCTGGCCACGGGCGATAGCGAGGCGTTTCAACTTGTGTTTTGATGGGTCGATGGGTGCACGATTTACAGGACATGTTCTAAGCACGCTTCATTGACGAGGCCATTTTTCCCACGTGGCCTTCACTTCTGTTTGAAACTTTCTTCTATTGGCCACTAGTTCATGTCACTTGGGTTTTCTGTGGACCATTGAATTCCCTGACTTTTGTCATTTGTTGTTCCTTTCCTTTTGTCCGATTTTGTCCTCGTTCTTTTTGTTTTTGTTCAGCTTTGTTCATTAACAATGGAGGATCCAAAGATGGTATGTAATGTACATTAACTAAATCCGGGTCAGAGATGTTCAGAGCAGCTATCGGAAAATCCTCAAGGGAGGGACCTTACGGTGGCTGATGGTCGTTTTGCCCACCCGAACGCCGAAGTTCATTGAAGAAGCATGCTTGTTGCGATTCGCATTTTCTACACAGGGTTAACCCTGGGGGCCAATCTGTGGCATTGGGCGGGGAAAGTGAACTGGTTTTGACATCCTGGCGGTGTTCGATTTTTGGAATAGCATCCGACCACGGTAATTATTTTTCCATCACCTGCCAGGGCACTGTCAGTGTCTTTGCAGCTGATCGCTCGGTGGCTCAGCCCAGGCCGGTTTTGCCCGGGTTTTTTGCAATCAGAAGATACTTTTAGAAATCCAATGATTACTGATCCTATGCGATACTTACTGGTAGATGGGTGGTGAGTATTATACATACAGTATGATAGTATATTCTTTTCAAGGTAGCTTTTCAATCGAGAGGTCGTTCTTGTTCTTTTAATTTGCACAGAGAGACCAGTCAAAGAAAATTTGGGCTGCCTGCTCCGTTAAACCTTTTGTGCTTGTCCTGCTATGGCAGGAGCGAAGACTTTGTTCAGTTCCAGGACCGCCACATGGTAGCTTTGCGAAAGGCCTAATCAGGTTGGTTTGAAGCCAGCTTCTAGTGCATCTTTGGTTGTGACCGTGCAAAGATCCACTGGACATCAGTTACAGCAGCTAGAGCGAACTTACTGCGGCATCATGCTCAGAGCTGCAGCTCAGGAGCGTGTACGACAGCTGAAGCCGATCGTCCAGCGCTCCCGGGACAGGGCATCAACTGCAGTGGGATCAGAGTCAGTCGGAATGTTTCAAGAGAAGGATGTAAATATAGAACAATCACCTGTATGCGATACGCGCCTCTTTGCTTGAGATGGTCGGAGAATGCACTCATGCTACAAACTCGCTCGCTTTTCTATGCTGTTCTGGCCAACTTAAGAAAAAGGAGATGACAAAAGGAAGAGCCCGAAGGCCCGCGTGTTTTTGGGTCTCTTCGGACGGTGTCTCGCCACAGGACGGCTATGAGTCTCGCCTTGCTTCAACCCGTGGATGACGGGAGATGTGGCCAAAAGATCGGAAGGCGGATGGATGACGATTGTGTGATCCCCAAATAGATAGAAACCGGCGTCCAATATGTTTCAATACATTTTTCCACGTGGGGATCTACCTTTCTATCTATTTGGGGGTCTATGAACGGATTTCTACTATTCCACAGTCACAGACAGTGGTTCCACAGTGGGTCTATCGGCGAAAACTCTCCGATAGTATCACAGCTCCACTTTTAACAAGCATCATGAAATCAAGTGATTGGTAAGGAAAAGCGAAGATGTGCTGTTAGTGCCTGCAGAATCCTTTGAAGGTTGAGAAACTATGTCTTTGATCACTCCTTGTGCGCTGCGCAGCTTCCAAGTCTAAACAATTCACGCCACGAGCATGGCGACTCTATGGACAGCAAGCATACTTGAAAGTAACTTGAATCGAGGTAGTGACAACCCTGGTTGCCACCGCACCTTTGCTTGTTGGCCAATCGATGCTGAACCCGAACGAACTGACATTTCAGCAGGATGAGCAAGACAGAAGACCAGCACGACCATGTTAGTTGGATGCACGGGAAATACTTAACGGCTATTTATTGCCATGCTATGAGATCGATTCCTTAAAAAACCTGTTTGGCCAAAGCCTCTTGACACGTAGTCTAGCAAATCTAAAAAGCATGAAAGGTACGCCGGGAGCCGGCTGTACCGCAAAAAAAGTAACGATCACATATATATATATATAACTGTGCAGACTCGAGGCAGGCCATGTGACGGTCACAAAAGCTCATGCAGTGCCCGCGTGATGGGTCCGAACACAGAGGCTGGGCACCGGGAAGAATGCCTCCGAATGTCCGCGTTCTTCCTCCAGGTTTCGGACTTTGGAGGTCCGCGGATTGAACAGGATGCAGTCGTTTTTTAAGTCTCAAAGCGTTGGGTTCCCCTTTTTTTCTACTGTTTACACCGAGATCAAGGCAACGGATTGCTGCAGAATCTTGTTCTGGGAACTTTGGACTACAACTTGGTGAGGTGCAGACGACAGCGTGCAGGACACGCTGCTCAGCGGCATGTTTATGTCTCACAAGTAGTTTTCTCTATTACGTAAACCTTTTCTCTATGTTTGGCCCTGCTTGCATCCTTATACAGTACACATATGAGCAACTTGATCTGGGTTTGGTCTTTGACGATGGCAGTTCCCCAATGTTCCTCAATGATTCAATGACCTCTATATAATCCTACGAATCCTAGCCTATATAATCCTATATATATATATAATGATGATATTATATATAGTTATCATAGACAGGTGCGCCATGTTCTATTTACTGTACATCTCAGGAGAAAGCGCATTGCTAAGATGAAATCTCGCTCTGCAGACTGCATCGTCTTGGCTTCCGAAACCTGATTCGAAGTCTTTGTTTGCATAGTTGAGCTGTTGAATCGTTTGTTGAATTGGACGGTTCGAGGTTTGACCGAAAATCGAACCCAACATGGTTTTTCTTGATTGAACATGTTTTGAGAATCATTCAGAATGAGAGAGATCGTAGGAATTCGTGTGATATCGAATATCAACCGGTTCCGAACGTTTAGTGAATCGAGGTCCGAGACGAATCTCACTTCCAAGGCATGAAACCCCAGCTGTGAGGGCTTCGGTTTCGGGACGTTCGGGATGTTCGGTTATGGTCTGAAGAGACCGTAGAAAACCAAACGACCTTTTCTTTAAGTCTTTAAGAAAACCATGTACAAAAAGAGTCTCTTAAACTCTTTGCCGTACAGTTGGGAGTCATGGTCCATGATTTGTTGGATCGTTTGATTGTAAGACTTTCACATTACCCTGAAGCTGGACATGGTATGCTCTTTAATGTCTCCTACTGATACCTTCGTGGCTTGAATTCGAGGCATGATGCCAACATGATGGATGCACCCATGTCTTGAAACTGATTCCTCTTAAGTTAGATGATCGAGTTACTTAGTCGCCTGGGCTACAGATGTTCGATTCTCATAAGGTCTCGTTGCAGTGGCCCCGCTGAGGTCCTTGTCCTCCCATCTTTGGCATGGTTTCTTTGCGAGTCAGGAGGACCCAGTGACCCTTTTTTGGGAGTCCAGGAGGCTCGGCCAAGCACTGGTCAGATCAAGAAGAGGATACCACCGTCGACTGCTTTAGGTCTTGCACGTCCACTGTGCGGGGTGATGGGCCCACTGAGTCCTTGAGAGTGTCTTGACATACTATTGAGGTGCACAGACAGATTGTGGGTGGTTAGCATTTTGACGCCGCATGTCTGCAGCTGAAGTTTTTAAAAGCGGCATCATCCCATGCTTACCACAATGGATATCCGAGTCATGCTAGACTGATAGAGCCAACCAGGTCCCTCTACCACAGAGAATGAAGTGCATCTAGGAAGCCTCTGTCAGTCTGTCAGTCTGCAGATAGTTTTTCAGCATCTTGAAGTAGCCCTTCAAGCCCTTCACCCAGTTGTTGAATTCTGAATGCTGTTTTCAGTATTTTTTTCACCGTTTTGATCCGTTTTGCACATTGTCTTCAAAGTATCATCATCGCGCAGCATCTTCGCCCTTCTCGCACACATGTGGTCTCTCTTCCAAATGCAGCACACGGGGCATCCATTGCCAGGCTGCGTGGGAGGTTGATGCATGTTCATCCTTGAACTCTTGAACCCAACTAAAGATACTAAAATGACAACATTATGTTTATGTATATAATTTAATATACTCATAGAATCTGGTATATTAAAATAGATGTGTACATATTTTTTGTACGGTAGGAAGAAAGAAGAAGAGTAGACGTGCTCAGTAAGTAGAAGGAGTGAAAGATGCCGAAAGCATTTGTCTCATGAAAGACTCAAAATCCTAGGACTTCGAAAAGAAGATGGGCGGTAGAAAGACGTGCCGCCATCGCCGCAGTCTTTCTCAGTGTCCCACTGTCCCCTGCCAGGTGCCACGTTTCATGCAGCGTTTCGAGCATCGAGTTTCCCGTCATCGGTTCGGGATGCTGGGTTTGCAGATTTAACAACGCGTTCGTCAGGATGAATCGTGTCTTGATCTTGATTTGCTTGGTCTTTTCATCCCCATGTAATTCTCAGAATGTTTGGACTAAAACGACGTACAATCGAGGGCAGAAAAGCTCTTCAAATATATAATGTTTGGATCCCGTCAACGCTTTGGGATGCTTTGGGTCTTGGGCCTTGGGTCTTCCAGCAACTAGCTGTAACAAGTGGACTTTACAAGGGCTCCTTTGCAGGATGTAAAAGGCGTTGTAACATGTTGTAACGCTCTTTAGCAGCAATGCCTTGTGTGTGGTCTTTTGACTTTGCTTCATTCAGATGCAGAATGACGCTAGATAGACTGAGGCTGTATGACTAGCAGACTAGCAGAGCAACAAGTGGGAGGACCACAGAGTGCTCAAAAGCACACAGGGTTCCACCGCCCTCACGAGAATGACCAGCTAGCCACTTGCAGGGTTCTTCTTGATTCTTGCTTGCATGATGAGGGCCCTAATGCGATCTAAGGACAGACCTGCAATCCGTGCAGATTTGGCATCTACATGGAGGCAGAAATCACAAGCAGGAGAGGCTTTGCAGCATTGGTTAAGTGGATGTATGACAGGTTGGTGTGTAGCTTGCCAGTGAAGATTTGGAGAACTCTTGTGTGAGTTGTCAGTTCAGAGTTTCAACTCTGGTTCCAAGCTCTTCGCGCTTTCAAGGCCGCTCTGTGTACTGGTTTGAGCGACTTGGCACAGATGTTTTTGCTGGTCAAGTCAGTCGAATCTGCCAGAACGATGCAATTCAGAAAGCCAAAAAGTTAAATACCTGCCTCAGTCCAGCCTCATCTAGTCCGGCCGCATTCATTGCGCATGCCCGCCCGGTGGGAGCATGAGTCTTCAGGTTTCGTCTTAAGCTCTCGACACCGGAGCTATGCATGCTCAAGAGGCGTGCTCATCGGGTCAGGGCATGCTCGGAAGCGAGCTAGATGCAATAGACTCAATAGACTCACAGGCCGCTGATGTTTTTGGCAGTCCTTCTTTGAGCAGACCATGAAAAAAACATTCCCTTTCTTAAAAATTGTATTTTTGCTTATGTACTCTCCCTGAAACATCATGGAAGTGGAAAACACCCTCAGAGTACAGGAAACAGGCTTCCTACTTGTAGGGGACATGTTCCACATTCCATGATTCTTTCAGGGAGGGCCCGGTGAGCGTGCAGGTGCTACCGGTGCTACCGAGAGGGAGAACCCTGCTGAGCTGGAGGCACAGCTTCGCTCAGCGGTGGAAGCCGAGGACTACGAGGCACAGCTTCCGCAGTCGTTTGTTTTTGTTTGTTTTTGAACGCCGGTACTGTAGGTGACGGATGTGTAGTGGGGGTGAATAAAGGATATAACTATACTGGTTAATATATATATATACAGATATACATATACATAAAGGACAATATTATAGGTAAGAATCACAATGGTTCTTCAATGGCAGTCGGTGAAAAATGATTGCAAGATGATTTCAGCAAGATGATTCGACTTCCCTTTTCGCAACGGTTCCTTCTCTTTCCATTGGGTTTGAAGTCCAAAACACATTGAACACAACGTTCTCTTGGTTTCGACGAGGTACCGTGCTGCAAAGATCTATATAGTTCTTGAAGTGGCCTTCCTTCGCGCAGGAAGCCGCACGCCTGAGGGATCTGCTACAGATGCTGTCCCTGGATTCAGAGGCGGCTGTCCTCAGCGCCAATAACGAGTTCTACGCCGCCTTCAGGCCATCGGGTGGAGCCGCGAGGCATGCTGAGGATGAACTTTAGAAAGCCCATGACGTATTAAGAACACTTGCGGACCAGTAGTATGAATTCAATGGGATCCCATTGCATTGTACGTGAGAGAACATGATGGCGGCTAAAGAATCATGGTCGCCATGGTCATCCGATTGCAAATTTCTAAGATTTGTGGAGGGAATCCACTTACTGTAATTTCAATAAATTGTCCAATACGAATCCACTCAGCACCCTGACTTCGTCAATGGCCAACCCACCCCGCAGCATCGTCATCGGCAGGGCTGGCAGTGCGGAGCGGATGAAGAAGATTTGGCTTCCAAGTCCCCGGAGCTGCTGCGTCCACCCTGGAAGGCCTCCACTCAATGGTGCCTGGGTCGTTCAACCTGGAGTCCCAAACCTCCATGTAGCACTGCCTTCGGTCTCCGTCGGAGACGGTCAAGCAATGGTCTCCTGATTGTGACCGCCAAATCTGATGATTTGCTGGATGTGAAACTGATTCTCCTGATGTGAAACTGGTTCGCGTGAAACTCTTTAAACATTGCCTGTTCTTTTCTCGGGTGTTTCTTTGCGAGCTGCATGAGCAGTTGACAAGTTTTCCGACCTAAGTCCCAGCATCGCTGCTTATGTTCGTAGTATTGGTCTCTCCTCGTGCACATGGCCCCGGATTCATGTCCATGCCTTTGGCATTTGGACTCCTAGAAACCACAGGATGACCCGTGCTGAACAGAGCCAAAGCATCCGGGTTTCCCTCTCTTTACCTTTGTTTCTGACTCTCTCCCTTGTCTATATTGTTCTTTGTTCTTTCCGTTCTGTCTTTCCTTTTTCGTGCTCCGTTGCCTTTTTTGCGCCTCTCTCTCTCTCTCTATCTTTGTTTCTCTGTGGCGCACTCTTCACTTTTGCATCGACCGTTGCATCGACGCACGAGGTTTTGATCATGTGGCAGCTTCCTGGGACATGATTCTAGCGCGAGGAGGCTGAGGGGTTAACAATTTGAAGGACCTCAGATGGGGATGAAGGCATTCCGGAGGAGCAAGGGGATGATCTAATTCTTCATCTAAAGTACAGTTTCCCTAAAAATCTAGGACCTCGGATGACCTCGGAACCAAAATCTAAGACTCTTCTTTCGGAAGCTTCCCCCCTTAGGCAGAGGAGTACTTACTTGGCGTCCCAGTAGTAAGCCTAGTAGTGACTTCAGCAACGAGTGAAATGGCATCAACTCTTGAAACTCTTCAGCAATCTATTGGGATTGGGATTCCGTATCTGGGATGGCGCAATTCTTGTATCCTACACCCCCGGCTTTGCAGCCATCACTCTCTTTACCAAAACCCATGTTTGTTGCTGTGGGTTTGTGGGTCGGTTTTCACCTTGGGGGAGGTCTTGACATTGAGTGTGCCAAGCCTTCTGTTGCTATGTGTGGCAATGTCGGCCGGATAGTTTGTGCCTGACTCAGTCTCTGCCAAATCTCGTCAAGATACACCAACATGGTTTTCTTCCACGGAGAACATCCTAATTTGTGCAAGCTTGTGCAAGAAGTTTTTAAGAGCATACTATTTTAACTGCTGTATGGTCAGAGAATTCCAAACATGGAGAGTATGTAAAGGATCTTGCATGTGACATAATAATGTGAATGTGACTATGTGTGATTGTCTACAAAGGCTATGAGCAAGTTGATGGGCAGATGACGTTGCTTGCTGTGAATTTATTCGAATCAACAAAGAGTCTTTGCTGCAAGAATGGATGCTGCTCAAGTCTTGTGGAGGCACACTTATCAATGAGATCGGCGCATTTCAGTGATTAAGAAAAAGGCCTTTGTTTTTGCAGTCTTGAGTTGGATGTGGTCCCATGCACTGCAAATGCTGCACATTGGACTCAAGCTAGCAGTCGCTTTTCGTGATGAACTGCACTGATGAGGAATGGTTGGAAGATGTCGTTCCACCAAGCATCTCCAGTAGCGGTACCAGCGCTTTGAAAGAGCAAAAAAAGAAGGCTTTGGGTCTGCCGTTCGCCTCAGCTTGGCTCCTGAAAGGTGATGAAAGGTGTTTGAAGAGTTTTCATTACAATTGCCTTAGGCCTTAGGCACTCGTAAAGACGCTGTTTGCATTCTCACTTTGCCGAACTCGGCGAGGAGCTGATCACATCGTGATACGACGTTTCTCCTTTCCATAAGAAAAGCGTTCCTTTCGGATCCTGCGAGCCATCGATCCTTTGGCCAACCGTTTGCGTGTCCAGCTTCCGGGTTTGCCCGTGCCAGTCAAACAAGATGCACGAATTCACGGGGCGTGGCAGTGGGTTTGTTACTACTAGTAAGGCACTTGTTACTAGTAGCGTGGCACTTGTTACTACTAGCTTCTTGTTACTACTAGTAAGGCACTTGTATAGTCAGTAACAAACATTGCACCTGAAATGCATAGGAGCTGCAATAAGAAGCTTGGTTGGTCAGATCAAGACCTTACACAAGATATCAAGGCTGCAACGGTTTAAGGAATGTATACCATGACACATGAAGATCTGGGATGAACGCCGAGCTTGAGTTTAGTACAGACAAGTTGAATTCCAACGTTCAAGACTGAGACCAAGAGGTCCCCTATTTCTTGTTTGTTCTTGTTTTTCGTTTTCTTGACCACTCCCACCCTGGCCCTTGACTCCAAGGTCTTCATTTTCTGGCTTAGCTGGAGCCAATCGATGGCTTTGGGGCCGTGCGCTCAGCCGTGGTCGGCACACCTTTGGCATATTTTGGCATTTTGGTCCTTTTGGAGCCACACCTTTGGGATCCTGGTCGTTTGGACGAGTTTGGCAGTACTATATAAAGCTTTTGGAGCCCAATCAGTTTGATGTCCTACTTTTTCAAGGTAAGTAAGGACCTTGAGCCTCCTGGGATCTCCTGGGCTTTTGCCCACCTGCCACAGATTCATTGCTTTGCCCTCACTTAATCGCACCAGTCGCCAAGTTGGGAATAATTGAAGGAGACGTCGCGAGGACCAAAGAGAGAAACCATGAGAAACCCGTTTTTCTACTCCATTTGGCACTTTCCGGACAAAAAAGCAGCTGCGCTCAGGCCAGCTACACTCAAGAGAGGTGCGCAGTACAACACTTCTCCTTCTCTCAGTTTCCTTTCCGTTCGACATGTCCCAAGACTTCGAACCCATTAGCCCATGCAAGCGGGGAGATTGCCTGGATGCAAGGCGATTTCTACATGTCAGCTTGACAAACTTGACGTCTGAACAGTTGAGCACCGCAAGAATCCTCCCAAAATGAACTAATTAAATCTAAGATAATCTAAGTAACTATATGACATAGGGGTGTAATCCTAGGTATTTTGCAAGAGCTTAGTTGCTGAGCAGTCCATTACATTCCACGAATTTCGCTGATCGCCAGTGCTTCCGACCATTAGTGATGGCGCTGCCTCCTCTACCAGCCGGGACGCTGAGTGTGGCAACTCTTGGATGGATGAGTAGTGTCGCTTGGCTTCGCTTCGGGGTTGCAAACACATTATTGTCGTCGTCGTCCTCCTCCTCCCGCTCCTCCTCCTCCTCCTCATCATCATCATCATCATCATCATCATCATCATCGGCTCTTGACTGGGCCCTAGTTGCTGTGAGACGGCAACGGTGTCACCCTTTGGGAGTTTTCATGAGTGATATAACCGCAAAAAGGACATGAGATGACATGAGGAGCAGTCCAACAACATGACAACCTTCGGAGGCCGACACGCACGCCATGACTTCCAACCACTGAGACGGGACGCCGTCCTAGGAGGGGCAGGCGCTTCGGCGGCGGATTTGGCTTGGTCCTCGGCAGATCATCAAAGGAAGAGGTCAGACAAAACATGCGGAAGAGGCCGGAGTTGGTACGTATGAGTTGGTAGTTGTTTGGTGCTCAGGTACTGGGTCTTTACAAGAACATGTCTTCCAACTGGTGGGCAAGTTTGACCAGTGACATGATGCCGGGAAAACCGTTTTGACCAGCGCGAAGACCATGCCTGTTCTGAGCCTGCCGTCCTCAGCGAAGAGACCCAAAGATTGCCAGACAATCTTAGAAGTTTGGCAATGTCATGCGATATCGAGCTCGATGAGTGGAACCGCTTTCAAACGAGGCACCGGTTACTCCTCGGTGCCATGGAACTTGCCGTTGAAGGCGACAGTGACCGAGAGTGAGTGCCGGACCCAAACTATTTGTGAAGCATCATGAATCAAGCACGGTCTTGAGCTTCGGTTTTAAGTTGAAAACTGAAGACAGTTTATAAATGTTTATTAGATTTTATAAGCTTATAGTATATCTATATCGAATATTATTCTTTGCTTTGAGGGTCATTCTGCGAGTCAGATGAGATCTTGACAGATGTCCGTTTTGACCACCCTGTCGGTGCGACTTCTCCGTTTTGCAGGCCATCGCTTTGAGGATCTTTCCCAGCGACCCAGTGAGGTTCGACGTTTTTCGGCGATCTATGGCATCCCAGACACGACTAGTGGGACTGGCATATCTACATACATTGACTCATTGACCCCTGAGACCACCCCAATGTAAGTAAATATGCCATACATGGATATACATGGAGAGTTTGGGTATGTGATATATGGTTGTGTCCAATTGCCTATTTTCATGTCCAACAGATGATGGAGGCGCTTGCGATATCACCTATGCTGAGAGCATTGGCTGTGACATTGCGAGTCTAGAGGGTCTAAAGCCTCGTCAAATGCGCCCCCCAGTCACGTGTAGCCTGGTTCGTTGGCTCAAAAGCAGCTTCTGAACTTGTGTTTGCTTTGCAGACTGCAAACTTGCCCAAGAAATCCAACAACTATATACATTATGTGCATATGAATTTTGGGACAACCTAAGTAACTAGTCAAGGGGAATTAAGCATGTTCAGCAAGTCTTAGCAGACACTACTGGCATGGAACAGTTGTGATCATCCCGATCATTCCTAGTGAAAACCACTACTCTCTACTACCACGTTGTCACACTGTATGAATCTTGTAAATGGACTTACATGGCCACAAGCCAAACTGCCGATCAGTTCTGTTTAGTTGGACATTCTTTGGTTGAAGACCAGAGCAAGACAGGCTGAAAACCGCTGTTACAGCCCGTGTTTTCCCTGGTCCTTTTAGGCTGAGTCTGCCCAAGCGGTCCGTCATTCTCCATTTGAGACTTCGAGATATCGTGTATTGGATGACCAGTCTTGACATCTTTTGACCGTTTGTCCTAATTCAATCTAATTAATTTCATCATATTTCATCGATCTATCGATTTCTCATCGATTTCAGGTCGAACATTCGTGCCATGGATGTGGATGACGACGTGTGCAAAGCCCTGTCCAATGTGATCCGCTCGATGACGCAGCACCGAGATGATGATGGTTTACCACAGGGTGATCCTGAGAAGATTGCTGACTGGGGTCTCTATGTGGGTGGCATCAAGGAAGCTCAAAACCTGGAGATGTTGGAACGACTTGGTATCAAAGCTGTGGTGAATGCTGCCCCTGATGTGGTGCATGCGGAGTATCCAGACCATTGGCACCATTTGAATGTGGATGCAGAGGATGATCCCAGCTATCCCTTGCTGGACATGCATTTGGAGGCTGTGACGGATTTTATTGAGCAACAAAGAGCTGAGAAACGACCCGTTTTGCTTCATTGCTTTGCCGGCATGAACCGCAGCGCGGCACTCTGCGCGGCGTACGTGATGATGAAAGAGCGCGTGGGCTTGTTCAGCGTTGTAAGAAAGATTAGTGAGAAAAGAGGATGGATTCTAAGCAACGACGGCTTCATGCATCAGTTGATTCACCTCGCACGTGCAGAGGGGTTGTTTGATGCAGTGCCATCACCTCGACTCGTTGCTGTAGAAGAAGAACCGAATGCACCGGCCGACTCTGAATGCTGTGAGAATGCCCAGAGAGTGATCCATCGAACAGACCGCACACGCAGTTCCAGCAGCGTTGCTCCAAACTGCCACGCTTCGAAGTTGGGGCGATCGCTGTCGATGATGTCCATGTCGGATGGAGAAGCCGAGTGTCCGACGTTGCAACGAAACAAAGCAAAGATGGAGCGGAGGTTGTCAAGAGGCTCATCTGCCTTGTCCGATGTCTCGGATGACTCAAACAAGAAAGTGAGAAGAAAAGCTGAGCCTGAGCAGCAGCCCATTCCGCATCGGACCATCTCTGACAAAGATGTTGGTTATGCTTCAAGACTGCCCAGGCAAGATTCCATCTCCTCAGACTTAAAAAGAATCAAATCTTTGAAAGAGCTGCGCGAAGGTACAGCCAAGCTACAATCCGGCATGTACCTTTACGTTATCATGCTTGGCGATCCGGAATATATTCGACTGATACATGAAGACCACTTGGTACATGAAGGAGTTCTTGCTGGCCACACCTCCTTGGTGGAAAGAAATGAGTTCCGCCGAGGATGGGCAAAGCAGTGGCACGTCAATGATCCTGAGGTTCGGCATACGGTTCTTTATGCAGGGGAGCTGGAGTACGAAGAGGGCCGTGGAGTGATCATGTGGAACAACCACTCAGGGCACTACACTCCATCAGCGGAGGACCACGTGCGCGTCCATTTGGATCCACATACCTTTGTACCGTACGATGAGTGAGGACATTTGCGATGCAAAAAGGGCAGTGAAATGCAGTAGGGATACGAGTCACTTTGTCATGGTGCATAAACTGCAAAGTTGGAGGCTCCTAGGAGGTGTGAATGTCATTGAATGCAAGCGCAATTCGTTGCCCAAGACCGTTGCCAATGCTCTGTTGTAGAATGGAGTTGAAATATCAATTGAAAGATCTTGAAAGCAAGAAGGTGTTCCAAGAGATCAGTTCAACGAGCTTGCAGCCACTCCCAGCTGGTTGCTGCATGTTGAATGTTGCGTTTTGCCCGGAAGGCAGATGCGGAGATTCAGCGAGATGCCGCGTCCCAACAAATGCACATCGTGTATATTTCACGGAGAGCAATTGGGGAAACTGATGTTGTTTTTTACATAAGGTCTAAAGGCTACCAGACAAGAGAAGTGAAGCGAGTGAAGAGAAGAGAGAGAGATAATATAATCAGAGGTGAGGAGGGTGTTTTCATGTCATTTGAGCATTTTTTTCTTCATTGCGTGCCCTTGTGCTGCTATGGAGCCCGAGGTTGGCCGAACGTTCCCAGAGCGTCTTGACCTCAGTTGTTTTCTTTTTCTGGCGATTTGCTGGACAAAACATGACAAGACAATTCTTTGAACGTCTTTGCCAAAATATTCATTTGCACTACTGCAAGACATATTTTCTTTACAACCAATTGAATGATACGAGGTTCGACAAGAGGATATCAGATCACTGAAGGCTGAAGGCATTTGCGCAACTCGTTTTCGCCTTCTCTCCGCCTCTCTTCCACCAGAGTGGCCGTAGTCGCCTTAGCCTAGGCTTTGATGAGGCAACTCAACAGGCATGAAGGGGTTTGTGATGGTTTGTGGCTTCCCTGCTTCTTTTCGGACCAAGACTCGTTCCGGAAAAGTGACAAGATGGAACACCATGTGAATTAAGCTGTACCTCCCTGCCGTCTAAATGAGAAAGGAGCGCTCTCAACGGCGCGTGCTTGAAGATATTTCAATCAGCAACATGTTTTTTTGCCTAAGAACGAACACGTCGATTGATGCTTTTTTGGCTTTTTTTCGCTCTCTCCGGAGGCTTTGTTTCGCGTCCTTCGGGCGGTCTCGCACCGTTCAACCCTCGGGTTGAGGGCGCAGAGGCGGCCTTTGAGGAGACGTGACAGATTGTGTTGGGGTAAACAAGAACATCAGTATTTTAGAGGAAGGCCGGCAACTGAACCATCATCATCCATGGTTAATGTATATGTTGAGTGTGCCGGTAAACTTCCAAGGTTGGAGAACAGAGGTGACCACTGACCACAAGTGCTTGGCAAGACCTATCAACACACAGAGCAATGCGTGTTAAGAAAAGTGTTACGCACCAAGGTGTCGAGGACATCGGATACTGCCAAGGGATGAACTTCATTGCAGGCCGGACTTTGTTTGTTGAAACTTGTGGTAGACCGTTTGGAAACATCTGCAAGCACCTGCCAATCAAAAGTGCAATGACACAGCAAGAAAGTCGACACCAGCGGCTTTGTGGAGGTGTGATGCTTTGCGTCTTCAGATCTGGCGCAACATCAACTGCCCTACAGGCAGTTTGCAGGATCTCTATACTGACAGCACAAGAACTATGCCAAGCCAGTGTCCCATGCACGTGGTGATAGTCAGTCACTGCCTTAACGCTTCACACTGATATGCTAGGTGTGCAGCGTACTGCCCCACCATAGGTCATACTGTAGGTGTTGCTGTTGGCTGATTCGTAGTTTTGCATCAGGTGTTCACTGTTTAACATTATCTTTTGATCAACATGTACTAGTACTAGCTTGCTATAATATAGCATATTATTAAGCATGAGCGACCTCCCAAACCTTATATCATTATATATATATAATCATGCCTCGTATGCTGCAATGGCAAGGCGATTCCTATCGATTCCTATAGATGTAATGGATGAATTGCTTGTCAGTCTTTGTTGGTAGGAGTTTTGGCAGTCAGGTTTAGAGGTAAGACGAGGCAAGACGAGGAGTTTTGACTCAGGCAGCTGAACCCTTTGCCTACCACTGTGTCAGGATCTTGGAGTTTTTGTCGGACGAAGGAATCGCTCGGTGTTTGAGTTTATCCATGTTCAAAGCAATCCTGTGATGATTGTAATTACTGTAGATGTATATAATTCTATTTAATTGGACTTACAATAATATAACTAGATGTAATGAGTGTAATGAGCTTTCACAAATTAACAATAATCTTCATGCACAATTTCAGTGTCGTCGTCCCTGGGAGGCTAGGATCGCATGCCCATAAAAATATCCTGCCCCTTTGACGCTTTGGGCCTTGCACAAACCGAACTTAACGGAACCAAATTTGCTTGAAGGTTGCAAGAGTTGTGGCCCTGAGTCATCAACTGGGAGTCAAGATAGCTTGTATGGGACGATGATGGGGAATTTGCACACTCAACTTCTTGGCTTTCTGCATCCCGACAGGTGCTCTCTATGCTGTTGCGCCATGGCATGAACCAGCATGGCACTCAGAGGGTTTATAGCACTCTAGTCGGAGTTTGATCCGCCAAAAAGAGAGCCCGGCTTAGCCCAGTTTCAAGACAATTGTTTCACGATACTCTCCACTTTCATTTTCAAAGACATGCATGAAGACTTGCAGCTGGTGCCAATGTTTGCTGCGCACCATGAAGGTAAGGCCTAAGTTTCTTGCTGTTCAGGTATTTTGGTGCAGGATTCCCAAAGCTGCGCCTGAGTGCGTTGCAGTTCGATTGCTTGCTGGAGGCCATGCATTTCAAGCATGTTCAAGCATCACTTCAACATGGCTGGAGTCGCAGCCCACTTTGTGGTTCAACGCCTTTGTCGTTCATTTGCATGTCCTCTTTGTTATTTTGAGGTCTTGTTCAAATGTGTCCAGGTATGTTTTGGCGCTTTAAAGCGGGGCTTTGCATGGCGCTTTGGTGTAAGCAACCCCAGCATTCTTTGTCGCACTTGGTGGCTTACAGCTTGCATAGCTGTTGCAGTTTGGAGAGACGCACCCAGAAGGAAAGGATTAAAACAACCTTCTTAAGAGGAGTTCAGACAGGAATGCAATAAATCTAAAGGTTCTGGATCTTGGACTTGAGTGCTTTGCCCCTTATTATGAACAGCAAAGAGGTTTTCACGCAGAAGAGCAACACTGCTCCAAGGGACAACTCAAGAGCACGTGCAAGTAACCACCTGCTGCAGCTCATATCAAGTTCATGTTGAGCCCCCCTAGAAGGCGACTGGGCCATGGTCCAAGCAGCTTCCAGTTGGGATGAGCTGAAGAAGATCCTATTGGAAGGAGAGGTTCTCTCCGTTTCGACCGACACAGTTTTGGGCCAGTTTTGGCCCTCGAGGCTGACACGTCAGGCGTATCCTGCAAGGTCGCCATCAAACATTACATGCTTCCAAGAATGCAAAGGCCTCACTCTACCCGTTACCTGCTATATACTTGCGGGAACGCGTTCGCAGACATAGATCGTTTCAATCTAATTATTCAGAAGACAAAGGAGAGGAAAAGAAGAAAAGGGGCCCTTGAATCAGGGCCCTTGCCTGAAAAGCACCCATTGTTGTCATCTTATTTTTTCTTGGCATACAACACACTTAAAAGTTATTTAGTTCTGCGACTGACACTTTGACACTTCCGCCTGCCAGGAACCGCCTCGCCAGTGGTGCCAAGATACAAGGCATTGTTCTCAGTGCGGCAGTCTGCTCCCAGCCCACATGAAGCTGTTGCAATCTTGAGCCGCTCAGAGCAACTCAGTAAAAGCACCAAACCCCTGTTTCCAAGCACTGTAATTATTGTCAAGCACTGGTTGACCGATAACGTTGCAATATGTTGCAATCTCGTTTGCCATAAATAATTGCGTATTTTCTTGCATTATGTATTCCTCGGATTCCACTGCATAACAGCTCCACTATGCACCCTTGTTTTACTTAGCACTCAGGTAGTGCATTGCCACTGCAAGAAGACTCGGTTTTGCTCCGCCATGAAGTGCCTTGCAGTGGAAGCAGCCATCGGTTATTTCCGCAGTCGTTCCCATGAAGCCATGGAGCACACCGATCCGTTGAGAAGAACAACTTGCTTGAGGATCCTTTTGTCCTAGTAGCTTCTTGCTCCTAGTAGTACGGCCAGGAGCCCCTAGTAGCGTCCTTGCTCCTAGTTGCGATGCCAGGAGCCCCTAGTACTGTAGCTTCTTGTTCCTTTGAGTAAAGCCCTGAGGCAGCCTATGTTTTAGGGCAGCTTGGTGATGCCTCTGCTATTCCAGTGCTGCAGCACCTGCTGTTGGACGACACTTGGCAGGTCATGGTCACCTAGACATGCGGCCTTTCGTTTGATTGTGTTTTTTAAAATGTGTTTTTTGTTCTTTTTCAACTTTTATGTATCTGTTTTCGTGCTTGCTAAAGTGATGTTCAATCCTGCGCATGCTGTTCAATGTTTCTACTTTCACGTGTCATTCAAGAATCACACTTTAAATGTACACCAACTTGCGCAACAGCCCCAGCAGGAGTTGAAGCCTCTTTTCGCTTTGATCCGAGGAGACGGAAGACGAGATCGTTCGCGAGATCGCCCAGTTTGCGCCGCATGTACCAATGTACCAATCTTCATAGTGGCCTTCCACTCTTTTTTTCACTACATGGCGTCGCCAACACACAATTTGACACGACTCTTGAGCTTAATTCATTTAATTTCCACAGCTTCCAAACAGTTTGGCTTGAATGCACACAACGAAGCGCTCACATCTTTTATTGTATATATACATAATGGCATAGCTATAACACTGCTTCATATGTCAAGTTTGGTCAAGTTAATCCTTCGACTTCTACTAGCTGTACTACCTTTAACCTGATTTTGCGCTTGCAGCCGGTGACCATGATCCGTAACGTTTTGTGGATTCATTCAGAGCGTATGTTCCATCTAATGCCTTCGAGTCAGTCTGCCTCGCCTCTGGGCTCGTTTCGTTGAAGCCTTGTACAAGAGGTGAGCTGGACAATCGAGGTCACGAAGCTGCAGAAGCTTTGGCTGCTTTGGGATCGGAGAAGGCCAATGTTCTCTATGATCCTTGATGGTTTTGAAAACACAGCTTTGCATCTCTCTTTGTCGACGTTCCTTGGCCAAGAACCTTTTCTGTTCTCCCAGGCCTTGGCGGAGTTGGCAGAGCTTTTGGCCAAAGGAGACACCAGCGAAGCCCTCCGACACACCTGTGAGTTGGCAATGGCAGGAGCGGGTTTGATGGACTGAGCAGATCTCTTTGAGTTTCCAAGACCATTCCATCCCAGAACAAGATAGAACAACAGCATCATGAGCTTTAATGCATTAGTACTCCACCGGTAAAGTGAACGCCAGCCAGACAAAGAGCGCGCCAATTTTTTTGAGGACTTCAGCAAGACAAAGATGAGGTGTTGCCCATTTGCGTTTGCCAGTACTCATCCAAGGAGATTGAACATGATTGAACCCCGTAGCTACAGCACTTTTTGCTGCAATTCTTTACATGCATCAAGCTGCTGTTGTGGGGCTTGAAGCTTTTGCATTGCCCACCAAACGACCGACATGCACCGTGTTTTTTTTCGTATGTCGCATGGAACTTGGCTTGTGGACCCTGACAGGACCCAGCTGAGGGCTTACCAGGTGCCACTCAGAAGGATATCCCGTGGGCTGCGTCCACACTTTCTGCTGCTTAGCTAATCTAAGATATCTAAGCTACACGTTGACCCAATATGTTCAATAGTTTTGGCAGAGCCGTGCCAGAGCGCATGACATGTCATCCGCCACACTAAGGACCAGAGCTTGCCCCTCTTCGAGCGCTACAGAGGGATGCTTCTTGGTTGGTGCAGTGTTGACAGTTACATTTGACATTCTCTTTGCTGTAGGTGTTGCATGTATTGATGTCATTTACTTGATCCTTTGTCTCCAGGATGACCCCGTGATAACCAGGGTCTCGACATGTTGAACATGCTAGTTGACGCTTGGAAACTCAATCCTTTAACATACTGTAGCCTGGCAAGACACTTTCGAAGGTCATCCTCCGTGATACTACGAGCAAAAAGACTAAAGCCTTCAGCCTACGAGTCTTACTTCCTCCCTTCAGCCTATGACACAGTCCAAGGTTCACACTCCGCAACCTGGGCGGTGACGAGGCCGTGAAGTCTTTGGCCGAAGCGTCGACTTCTCAGCTGATCTTCTTGTTGAAAAGGTCCTAGTAGCTTCTTGTTTCAATTCTAATTTAATTCATATTTATTCATATTTATCTCTTGTTTCTAATAGCTTCTTGTTCCTAGTAGTAAGGCCAGGAGCCCCTAGTAGCGTCCTTGGCCCGTCGCCTTTCAAAGAGATCTTCGAGATGATTGTCCCCCTCCCGTCACCGTCGTAATATGTCATCGTTGTCCTTGTCATATTAATCGTCGGAATATATTATAGATCATATATATATATATATTTCGTCATCACTGAACCAAAAGGCTCAATTCCAATCATTCAATTGACCCCCCCCAAACAATCTCTACTTGTCATTGTGCTTTGTTTGGTGTTATATATATTATTAAATGTATGTGCTTGTCTTCAGATGTATTCATAATCATTTTGTTTTTTCGTTGGAATGACGATTGGGAACAAAATGGACCTTTGCGGACCTTCTCTGAATGACTGGGAAGTCTGGAACGACTTGGAGCTGCGGCTGGAGCTAGCTTTTGTGGTGGTTTGCGAGGCGGAGACTTGATGCAGGATTGTTGTTCTTTTTTTTGAATGTGTTGGACTGTTGGAATGCTTTACTGCAAATAAACGTAAACTAGAACACGTCAAGATTTCCCATATAGAATGGGTGACCTTAAGGCCCTTATAACAGCTTTTTTGTGTTTAGGCCAACCATTTTGTAAGAGCCCCCAAAAATGACGTTTAGGCTCCTAACTTTGTAAGAGAATCGTTGTGGAAATGTCGCGATGTATCAACGTTGTAGCCATCCATTTTGTAACAGATGCATTTCGTGAGAAAGCCTGTCATTTTGTAAGGCTTTCGAGGCCTTCAAAAAAGCCATTCTATAAAACATGTTGTTTTGCTATCATGATTTGTCTATCTGGCATTTAAGCATATATAGTAATATTATATATCTTATATAGATATGTAAATGCTTTTCCAAATCATAGACTACCATGGCCTCGACGTCAGTTATGAAATCTGAACGTCGATATTTTTATGTGTGTTTGCTGAAGAGCACCTTGTAACCGATAGTACTTGTAACATTGTAAACGTCGCTAACCCTCGGCAGACAACTATGCTCATCACTCGCATGGTCTCCTCGTCCTCTCGCGTGGCAAACATTGACCAGTTTTTCCAATCATATCCAATCTCATCGATGGAAGACCGCTGAATCACGCCTCTACTCTCAGACTACCATGACATATATTGTATTTGTGAATATACGATAATATTAGTGATTAGTTTCCTCATTCTGGTGTGTCTCGGAAGGCCAAAAGATCCAGATTAGTTCGCTCATTGAGGCCCCAGATGTGTTCAGCAAAAAAGGCCTTGCCGCGCCGGATCACCGAAAAGGGCCGTGAACGGCCTAATACCTCACGGCCCGGCAGATACTGAGGCTTTTGCAAGACAACTCAAGCGCAGTGTTGCGGCATGAGGCGGCTGCCGAATGAGATTGGACACAGGAAACAAGGTGTTTCATAATTATTGTGTTCTGAAAGGTCACACATAAGTTATCATCTATAAGATTCAAACAGTATAAGTATACAACCGGCCAAACCATGTGGACCTGAATCAAGTGAACTCTCACTAACCACTGACCATTGAGGATCCTCCCATCTCCTCCCTTCTTCCAAGAGATTGTACACACAAATTCCTGGAAACCGTCCGGTAGCACCACCCAGTGCAAAAAGAAGGCAAACAGGCTGTCTAGCTTGGCTCAACTGAACTCCGAAACTTTCAAGTTCTGATGTGGGGTCTTCCGTAATCGTGGCAAATGCCGATCCTCACAGATCTCGATGGCAGGTGGTTCTCGTACTTTGTGAGTGCTGTTTTTTCAAGTGCAAATGCGCTTTTGGACGAATTCGTGTGCCGCTTTGTCCAGATTCGAGGTTGCCTTTGTATTGGGTCAGATGGCAGACGAGACAGCGACGAAGGCGTTCCACTTTGTAGTCTTGCCATTTTCTGAGAGATGATCAGCCAGAGGCCCCTTCAAGCAGAAGATGAGTTAACAACAATAAGTGGCCGAGTGGTCAAGCAGTCAAGGAGGCTTTTTTGGGAATCACGTTGCTTCTACGGCAGGCGCTGATGCAGGCAAGAACACATTGATTGACCGATTAGCGTTGAGAGCATTTGAGAGTGACATTTTGATTGAGCAAAGGTGACTTCTGCAATTTGTTCCTTTTAATTCAGTCGCGTTAATCCAATGGTACAATGAGTGCGGGAGAAGAAGGGGCAGATGCGCTTGACGCACACCAACGCTGTGATCCAGTCGAGTTTTGTTTGCATTCAAAGGACATTATGTTCTTCCCACTTGCTCCAACCTAGAATCCTAGAAGCGATGGCCTCCAACCTACTAACGATGGGACCAATCTACTAGCGATGTACATCGTATACAATATACTATCTATATTGTTTTCTTCCAGAAAAGTTTTTTTTTTTGGGATGATGGGCCGGGATGTATAATGTAGGTTCTTAATGTGTTTGGTCATGTCCTGTCTTTGGGTCACCTCCAGCCAGGCCCTTGCCCAGACGAATGAGCATGGCATGGTGCGCCATGAGGCGTGATTTGGGCCGTTGCATGAGCATGGTGTTAGTCGATCATGCTGGACCAAATTCAGCTGAAGACCTATTGTTTGCTAGTTTGCTTGCAGGAAAGATGCCAGTATTTTTCGGGAACCAACATGACAAAACATGACCAAAGCCCGAGCCCTGTCTTTCTTATGCTCAACGCATTCGACGCTGTCAAGGTTGAGCTTGCTGACAGTCCCCAACCCCACAGGAGAAGTACTTGTAGCGATGCCGTAGCATTCCGTTGCTACATTTGTCATGATGTCCGAGGCTGCAATAGCCTTGGGGAACATCGGCAGCGAAGATGGAGAAAAGGTCTTACGTGTGGATGCCGAGCCGAAGCATGTTCTGTTTATTGTAGAAGATCCAACTTTGATGGCTGAAAGTTTGCTCCAATCATCAATGTCCTCAATCCATGACTGAGATAGTTTCAAGATCTTCGGAAAGAAGTATAGCGATTCAGTCACCTCTTAGTTCCGACTGAGAAAATGCGCGTGTGACGCCGCGTGTGCTGTGACTGTTGCCATTTACTCACTCAGGACTACAGGAGAGCGTTTTGGCTTGTAAGACACCTCCCGCTGCCTGATGAGCTTCCAAGTTCCAAAGTGAGCAAAGAATGTAAGCCTTTTGTGCAGAAAAAGCAAGAACGCCCTTGTTTGAATTAGCTACTTAGAAACCGACCTTCTTTCTTCGGCTCTCATTGGACTTCTCACGGAACAAGAACTCCCGGCCTGGCACTGCGTGGCACTGCTCGCCTTGCGGCCATGGCGATGCCGCAGATGGCTGGCTTGGAGGGATTGCTGGGTGGACTTGGTGGGGGGCTGGATGCAATTTGGGACAACCCCATGGCCACTGGGTTCACGTGCTTTGCTTGATTGTGCTTGATGTTTTGTTGCGTCAACTCGTGGAGCTCTCATTTCTTCTTTCTGTTTGAAAGCTCCTCGTTCGAGCAGAGTCGCTTTTGTTGCATGTTGTTTCCAGATGTCAGAGGACAGCTATCAGTTTGTCCTTCGCTTGGACGCCAAGGTTACAAATATTGCTTTTCATCCCAGCAAGATTGAGCGACTTGGATGAATGACGGCGGCAGTACTACAACTTAGATGGGAGACGTCTTCCCATTGGCGATTTGAGGCCATCCTATTTGGATGCTACCACCGGGCCGATCCGTGATGGTGCATTCACTATGGCGGACGACAAGAAGATTAGCTTCAGGTTTTACGTCCCGAAGGAGACTGATGTTAAGATTGTACCTTGGAATGATGCTCACATTTCGATTGCGAACACAAGCGATACCGGTGATTGGTTACAAGTTGTCATTAGCAGCTACTAGCTTGGGTTCATAGCGGAAAGGAAGCGCTCCATGTTGTCAGCTCTCCCGCTCGTGCTGCTTCCCTTCCGCTGCTTCCACTGCTTGTGAGGTGGTATATTTCTTCCACGGCAATGCAGAGGTGTGTACAGCTATGGATGACATTGCTGAGATGCTCCACAGCCTTGGAGCGGCACTCCTGTCGATTGACCCTTGTGAGCAGTTGGATGCTTCTAGCTCCTAGTAGTAATGCCCTTGTTCCTAGTAGCCATGCCAAACCTCTAGCAACCTTTGGATGCTTGTGGGACGCATTGGGGCCCTACTGCCAGCTGTTGGCCCTTTTTCTTGATTTTCTCGGCAAAGCGCTGGCACGACATCAGAACACGCGAGTAGTTTTTGAAAACATTATGTTTTATTGAACGAGTAAATTTAGATTAGACATGATTAGACCGTAATCCACTGCAATTCAGCAAATAGCAAATGTTCGCGAAGGTATTTGTGTGATACATTATGTGTGGCGGACGTTTGCGAAGCCTCTTGTGTGGATTTGACACAAGCGAAGCCAATTCGTGAAGACTAATTTAAAATGCCTGAAAGGTAGCAAAACCAATTCACGAAGTCTTTGGTTTTGCGCGATGCGAATCCACCTTTCGACTGTGTAGCGATTCGATTTACTCAATGTCAAAAAGTTTTCTGAAATCTCGTTCTTCCCTTGACAAAAAAGAACAGGTGTCAGGTCTTATGTGACAGTGCCATTGCAGTGCCTTGACCTGCCTGGAGCACTGGTTTCTGTTGCATCTGAGGATTACCGGGGCTACTCTTGGGGTACTGGACAGCCCAGTTTGAAGAAACTTTGCAGCGATGCGGATCAGTGCTTCCGTGCGAGTGAGACTTTGCTCGCGGATGCTGGCTTTGCAAAGGCAAAACGAGTGATGTTTCTGGACCTCGACTGGAAACCGTTTCGTTTGCTGGTACTTTGCCCCTTGTTAAGTGTGGAAGTGATCGAAATGATTTAGGCCCGGTGTAAGGCCAACAATTGCAGAACGACCAGTTGAAGTACGTATATATTTATGTCTACAATGTATTGTCTATTGTCTCCATCTATCTATCGATCTATCAGATCTTAATCTTACGGAATTAATACAATATAACATAATATAATCGTTAACATCGTTAAATTGATCTATTGATTAATATCGATGAATCACGGAATTCAACGATCACGGATGTCCCTTTTCAAGCCTGCCGGTCTTTTTCCACGGAGGTTTGGGCGCTCCATCGGTGCGACCTGTGCAGTGCATTTGGCGGCCAAGCAGTCCCGGAAGGTGCACGGCCTCATTGTGGCCTGGTTTGAAATTGAGTCCAACTCCTCCAATTTTCTCTCTGAAAGACCCTAGAGTACAAAGGCCTGTGAAGCATATGTTATACAGTATATACTACATATATAATATATAGAGAGAGCAATTATATATATATATACATTAGGTATATATATACATTAGGTAATAAATGTGTATATATATATACATATGTGTGTTTCTAATGTTTAAAACTCGTTGTCTCAAGCGAGGGGCAGACAAATCATCACTGTTTGGAATTCTGCACAATACTTTCTTCCATTTCCTTACTACCAAAAACCTTTGGGTCTGGGTTGCTTTCAGTATTGCTAGGCTGCTAAAGGCAAGGAGGACGAAGAAGGACATCGGTTTGCCTTGTTTGATCATTTGTGGTTGATAATTTGTTGTGCTGAACAAATGAACAAAGAACTTTGATGAACTTTGTGTCAAAAACACTTCGTGGTTTTTGGGATGCCCGTTTAGTCAGACTACTGATACTTCACATGTCTCTTTGTCCCTTTCTCTCTCACTTCTCTCTACATATATAGTTATATATATATATCAGCCAGTTTTATGTGCGTAAGCTTTCATTTGTTCGGACAGGTCGATTCTGGGCTAATGTCCATCAAGCAGTTGCCCACGGTGCAGATGCAGCTTGACAGAGCTCAAACGTGTTGGTTTTCCCCTTTTCAAGTTTATTTTGTTGAGGTTTTGAACCAAACTCGATATGTGCTCAGGGCGCCATTCACAAAAGTTTCAGGCTCGGTCCAATGGTTTTCCAGAGCCAACCTGAAATGTTTCAGAAGCTGGCAGAGCCTTTCGACACCCTTGGCAAACTTCCAGCTGTTGGCTGTCCTGCACTGGTCATGCACGGCGACAAGGATGGAGTTGGCAGAAACTTTCAAGGGTGGTGTTGAAGCATAGTTAGGCCAGCAGGAAGGTATGGGTATGGGTGCACAGGACTTTGTATTGGCCAAGTCATGCTAAGCTGTCATGCTATGTGTGGCTTGATTGGCTGTTGCATTTGGGTCGTGAGAGACCGCCAAACAAAACATATTGACCCTGGTCGCCAAGACTTCAAAGGCACGACATCAGACATAAAGGCATTGCGCCTTCATCTAGTTGGGACAGCAACAAGATGCAGGTCAGAAGGTCTTGGCACCAAAAACAAGGCAAAGATTAACAGAAGTTCTAGATATTTTAGTAGGATTGCCTTTTCACTTCCAGTTGCTGTCCTCTTGAATTTGTATGCATAAGTATGCATTTTTGTTAATTCCTTGCAAGGATGGCTTACATTCATTGTATGTCGATGGCAGAGAAGAAATGCAACACCTGGAACATCCTGGAACCAAAAGTATGGCTAATTTGGGGAATAGTTCAGAATTCTTCCGCACCGTAAAAGGAATTTGATGAGCCGGGAATATATAGCTGTATATACAATAGTAGCAGCATCAGCAGTAGTGGTCGTGTTGAGAGTTGGTGGCAGTGTCAACATTGCAATCTATTTAACGGAGGGAGGCATCTTTCAGATTGTTGCAACAGCTTTTGTGGGCCAATGAAATATATTATGCCTTGCCAACCAAGTTTGGTTTGTTACACTTAGAGCAGCATCAGCAGCACCTTGCGAGGATGAGATCGTTCCTTACAGCCAAGCAGTGCAATGTCACAGTGGCCTAAAGACGCCCAAGAAGAAGTTACAGTGCTGGGTAGGCCAGATGCTTACATTGCTGGGTTTCGTGAAGATTTTGTTGAGAGTGAAAAAAACAAAATAAAACACATAATAAAAGATGAAGGTTTAGTAAGTCCCATTATATAAAGTGGCCTCACCTTCCTTTTTTCATGTCTTTTGTCTTCATAGTAATTCCTTAATTTCGCCCATAGCTTAGCGACCATCCGTTTTGATTTCGGTGCAGGGGCCTCTCACAATGACGTTTGGGCAATCTATGCTGAGCCCTGGAGACAAGAAGTGAAGCTGCTCCTAGAGCAGGCCCAACTCGGATGTCTCGGATATTTGTCATATAATTTATCGCTGATGTTGGCGTAGCTTTCCGATGCTTTCTGTTGGAAATAGAAGTTCCGATTTCATGATTTCATGGTGACGTGTTCGCCTCCGAAAAATGCCAAACGTCACTGATCGCTGCAAATTGCGACTTCTTTCGGTGCAAAGCACTGATCGCTGTAATAATTGAAACGGTAAATACAGGATTACCTCTGAAGAGTCAGGGTTTCTTAGTAAGAAAGACAAGAAACAAAAGTAAGGGCTTCTTAGTAAGGCTCCTTTCAAGGGGGTTGTCTTAGCCTTTTTCAAGAGCTGACCATTGTTGGCGCGTGTTGGTGAATGAGCGTCCCAGCGGTGAGGCCCTCGACTTCCAGAACGAGTTTCCCAGCGGTGTGCTGGTCGAAGCTCACTCTTTGTCTGCCACAGAGATGAATGGTCTTCAGGTGTGGGTGCTGCATAGTGCTGTAATGTGCTGTATAGTGCTGGCTGGTTCTTGTTATTGGTTTGATCGCCGATCTTGCTCGATTTCGGTGTGTTATGCCATGATCATCGTGCCATCCATCTCAACACAATTCGCCCCGTGGCGAATCTCTCTCAGCTACGACCCCTCGACGGTTTCTTCACGACGCGCCGCGGACGGTTTTCACCGACGGGACGACTCGAGTTCGGTCGTGGCGTTGCTAGTTTTCTGCCACCCGAGGGTCGAGTTCTTGGTCCACAAGAGGAGCGACTTCGAGTGGACTTCCCTCAGCCAGCAGGTGTCAAGGCTGGGATTTGTGTAACCCATCGAAGGGGGGTAGGCCCCAAAAAAGCCATAGTGAGAAGCTACGAGATGCTACGAGTTGAGTAGCGCTGGCCTAGTAGCGATCGGAAGCTTCTACATGCTTCTACAACGAAGCCTGAGTTTTGATGATTTGCTTCCTTAGATTTGTTGGGACGCTGTCAAACTTCATTTCATTGCAAACTACATCAGGCCTTGAAGCCGAGCAATCTGAAGATTATCGAAGTGGAGCCAGAGAAAGGCGCCCACTTGGGGAGACAGACACAATGTTTGCTACAAGAGCAGGGAATGTTTGCGAGTTTCATATGCGTAACTGACCGTAGGACCGTAGGCGTAGCGTGTGCTACGTGCGTAGGTGCGCCTCATGGGCTTGGCCAAGAAAGCTGTGCAACACAGCGCATACAGCAGTTCCCTTTCTATGATACCGGACGATAATATAGACTATTGATGACTATTGTTACAACATATTACAAGTGTGTCATGATTGTATCGGCCTCGTTTTGGCAGGTGTGGAGGATTTCCCCATTGGCGCCATGGTGGAGGCCTTCGGCCTCTCCAAGATCGAGTTGAATGGCCTGCGCGGCAAGGCGCATGGGGCATTCGATGATTCAGCGGAAAGCAGCATCGTTACGCAACAGATTTTGTTGGGCACACAATTGGCAACGTAAAATATATGAATTCTTTTAATTATGTTTTGAAGTTTTTTTTATAGTGGCAGACGTTTGACCTTCGTCCACTATTTGCAAGCTAGCTGGACTCGATTCTATGCCAACAGCAGTTCTGCTCGTTGGAGCAGCGGCCGCTGCGCACGTGGCCATCCGGACCTCCCATCCTAGGTGTTGGGCCCTCGAGAGGATCGTGTGGAAGTGAAGTTTGATGATGGGCCAAAGGCTTTGAAGCCCTCAAACTTGAAATTGATTGAATAGAGCAAATTTTAAGGCGATGTTAAGCAACTTGGAATTGGTGTTGATATGTGTTGATGCAGGGTTGATGAATCATGGGACCAGACATGTTTTGTAGAACTCAATCTAGTCAGCAGCGTGCCGGACATGAAGCGTCAACCCCCAGACATGAAGGAAAATCACTGTAGAATGTAATGCTGCGATTTTCTGTCTCTCAGCTCATTGCAGCTTTGCGCCAAAGACTCGCCATTTCGAGGCAGAAAAGAACCTTCCCATCATGTGTGTGCAACAAAAAACGAGCATGGCAGTGTTTAAGCTGTCGAGCTGATATGAGCTGATTGCTGAGCTGGTCTGGGCTGCGCAGTTAGATACTCGACCTCCTCAGAGCAGTGAGGTGAGTATCTCCAAGATCCGGATGTCCTTGTGGCCCAGAGCTGCGAGGCAAGGCATGCACCGCGCATGCGCTGCGCAGGCATTCCTTGGGATCTTTGGGGAGGATGGATGCAAGGATCATCAAGGATCCTGCTTTGCTAATTCTACTACTGTAGTTACTATTGCATTGATGTAACTGGCATTGCATGGTTTCTGCTGTAGAGTTTTCAAAAAGAAGCCGACTTGTTCCTTCCAGGTGGCGTTGGCTACCATCTCCTACTGGAGATCATGGGAGGACCTGGAACTTGAGCACTTCTCACATTCAGATCCATCCAAGATCACACTCGGGACCAGCATTGGGAACAGAAGAAAACGTGTTTGCCAAAAACTTTGTCAGGAACTTGAAGCTAGACTTGCGGAACAAGCGGAGTAAGTGGAGGATCCCTTTGAACTGAGGCAGCGCAGCCCAGCAGGTAGGTTTTTGTTCTTTGAGGTTAGAGTTGAGATTTTAGCCTGTTACGATGGTGCATGATTTCCAAGGTTTTCCCTAGCACATGTTTTGACTTTGCATTTGCCACTGGCCAAGACACAAAGGCTAAGCACAGCATGGTCTTCCATGCGTCACTGTGTCACTAGTGTAGGTGATGTTTTGGTTTCTTCCAGTGCCTTTTTTTTCTGGTTTTGTGCCACAATTGCCATTAAACACCATGGACATCGACACATTGAGCATTTGCCATGGTTCTGCTGAATTCACCAGCGGCTCGCCGCTCCGCTCGCCTCGTGCATCGTGACAGGTTGGACTGGTCGCGACGATCCGCTTGGAGTTGGCCATGTGCGCGGCCGCGTTGTGTGCGCCCACGTGGTGTCCGGTCAAAGAACCTGGTTCACAGATCCGCCTGTTTCGCGACGCATCGCGAGATGGAAAGGGACGCATCGCGATGTCGCGGAGTCTCAGTGCAATGAAACAGTCGCATCGCGATGCTTTGTTCCACACATGGTGGACTAAGTGCGTTGAAGCAGTGCTCTTGTGCACATCCCTCTCCTGGTAGGCCTACTTGCCAGACCTCTCTGCCTTCTTCAACCGCTTTAACATCAGTGCAGAGTTCTACGCCACTCAATGGTGGGTGTGCTCAACGTGCAACGCGGGTGTGCACGAGCAGCATGAATCGGATGTTTTTCTGTGTGTGAAACTGTGAAGTGCATCATGCATTACTCTGAACAGTGGCCGACAGGGAGGCTATTTGATACTTGTCACACTTGTCACTTGGAACACTTTCCGAGCTTGCTCAATACATCTTAATACATGCATGCACTAGCAGTATTGACGTGACGCTAACAAGAACACCTGATGTGCCTTCCAGATTCTGAAACTTCCTACCACCCACGGGTGAGATGAAGAAGAACTACTATATAGGTAGCTACTAGGGGCTCCTGGCATCGCTACTAGGACCAAGGACGCTACTAGGGGCTCCTGGCCTTACTACTAGGAACAAGAAGCTACTAGGAGACGAAGAAGAACCCCCGTTTGGCGTTTTTTGTTCCGCTCCACTTCCAACCGCTCCGACCGGCCGGGCGCGAGTGGCGGAAGTCCGAGGTTTCTCACGCTCTTCGCCTACTCGCTGCCCTTTCCGCACCTTTTGCGGGCCGGAGGTCCAAGACAGGCAGATTGAATATGAGTGGTAGGTTTGATGTAGGTGGATGGATGTGGCTGGATGAATGGTGGCTACCAATCAATCCACTTCCATGTTGCTCACCCGTCGAGTTGAGCTCTGGATTTGATTGGAGATCCTCCACCACAAATGATCCATCCTTGTTACTTGCAATGAATTTGAGATTATCAACCAGAAGAGCTAAGAGCTATTACGGCAATTTGTTGAAGACTTGACCCAGATCCTTGAGTAGAAACGACCGGGTGGCTCAGGCTAGTCCTCCGCAGCAAGACGTGTGTTTCGTCACATTAGACAATGCCAATGCATGACAATGCCGCGTTTTGAGGAGGTGTATATATATATTCAAGATTCTTCAAGACAATTCAGTAAGTCAGCAGTGCAGGTCACTGGTGATCCATATCATCTTTTTTGTAATGGGCACGATCATGGCCAAGCATTCTTGGAGACATGTAACTGAGCATGTAGAAAAGCATGACACAGCATGAAAAAACCTGGTTTCATGGATTGCAGAGGCAACGGGCAGCAGATCACAACATCCAAATGTCAAAGGTGCAACCATTGGACTATTGTTCTTCCCGAATGCGTAGCGAAGGGTTCTCGTTTAACTCTTGGGGGTCTGGGGGTAGAGCCTTGTTCGCGACCCGTTGTTTCTATGTTCGCAACCGTCCGCAACCGTCCGCAACCGTCCGCAACCGTTCGCAACCGTTCGCAACCGTTCGCGGTAGAGCGCTAAGGCGCTGCCATTGGGGGAAGCTTTTGCAAGTGACTATTCATGGATGTGTCACGTGTCAGTTTGCGCCGCTATTCCATTGTGATTTGCATGAAAAAGACATGTCGCGCAAGCAACGTGATGCGTTTCGCTGCACAGGCGCCGCGTTTGGTGAGATCTGCAGATTGCTGTGCAGTTCCATTGGGATTAGCGTTTGGAGAGTCGTGTTTTTGGGGTGTTGGATGTGGCCGTGCCATTGGTATTTGCGTTTCAGGGTGTGGCATCGAAGCTCTGTTTTCGTGACAAGTCTCAGCTGAAATGCCGATTTTGGTGGATGGGAGTGTGTTCAGAACGGGTCGAAATCATTCCAAACATGTGGTGTGGTGCAAATTTTGTTGAAGCTCACATGAGACGACATTGTTACTTTTCGTGGCAGGCGCAGGACTTTGTGCGGGTTTTGAGGTGTGGAGGTGGGATTTTCGTGGCAGGCGCAGGGAATCGTGAGGTTGCGATGTGTGACGGAGGTGACATTTCGTGGCAGGCGCAGTACTTTTGTGCGCGTTAGACGAGTGGACGCGGAAAGATTCGTGGCAGGCGCAGGGAATCGGGAGGTTGTGAGTTGTGGTAGAGGTGAATGTCGCTGTCACATTGGGATTGGCGTGTGAGCGGGTGTCGTTTGGAGGGGCTGGACTCGCGAAACTGCTTGGCAGGGCTGCGTGATGTGTGTGCTCCGATGGGTGTTTCCGCTGGAGGAAGTCTCGTGCGAAACGTTCGTTTTGCAGACTTTGACATGAGAGTTTTTGAGGAAGTCTCGTACGAAACGCTCGTTTTGGGGACTTGACATGTGACTTTTGGAGGAAGTCTCGTACGAAACGCTCGTTTTGGAGACTTGACGTGTGAATTTTGGAGGAAGTCTCGTACGAAACGCTCGTTTTTGAGACTTGACGCGTGACTTTTGGAGGAAGTCTCGTACGAAACGCTCGTCTTGCAGCCTCGCAGCGTGACTTTTGGAGGAAGTCTCGTACGAAGAGTGTGCCCTACAGGAGTGTCCCACAAGAGTGTCCCACAAGAGTGTCCTACAAGAGTATCCCACAAGAGTTTCCTACAAGAGTGTCCCACAAGAGTGTCCCACAAGAGTGTCCTACAGGAGTATCCCACAAGAGTGTCCTACAAGAGTGTCCCACAAGAGTTTCCTACTAGAGTGTCCCACAA